TTTTTCACTGACTGCCCGTTATCTTACATCTTATATTTCTTGCCATACATCTTGTTTCTCTTTGAGTCTTTGTAAGTTATATGTTACAGGAGAGAAACCTAAAGCAGAAACTAGTCGTGATGGTGAAAACGAAGAAGAGGAAGAAGAGGACTTAGTGGAAGGTGGTTATGGATTAGGGGGTCTACCAAAAGGGTCTGAAGTTCTCTCACCACGAGAGAGGCATCATCTCCGGTGCTTTTTTTACCTTATCTTCTCTTATGATTACTGGTTTATTTGTTTTAAAATTCGTTAAAACTTTTGGTTTCTATTTCAACATTTAAGGCAGCATGAATTGTTTTTGTCACGGCAAATAGAATCGTTGCCAGCAACTCATATTAGAGGGAAATGTTCAGTGACGCTGTTAAGTGAAGTGGAGACTCCTGATATCTATCTTGGCAGAGAAGTTTGTTTTTTATTTTTTGCCGTACATCTTAGTGTAATCTCTTTTAAAAACTTTTTTAGGATGCATTTTTTTATTCTCTTGTTTACGACCAGTCTGCTATGACGCTGTTGGCAGATAAAGGCGAAATAAGAGTTGGAGAAAAATTTCAATGTGAAGTACCTGATGATTTGGACCCAGAAGCACTTGCCGACAGTGAAAAGAAAGTTAACGGGTAAAAATTAAAAATTTTGGAAAAGGCGGTAGATGTTAGGTTTTCTCCTGTATCAAAACTGTGTCTGTCACCAAAATCTGTTACTGTTACTGTTTCAACGTTCATTTTTTACTCGACCTATGGTTTAGTACTTTTAGAAATCTAGTTATTGCGGAGAATGATCACGAAGAACCCGTCATTAGCACTACTGAAAGAGAAGTTCTTGTGTATCACCCATTTCATAATCTCACCGACCGTGACATTGACCAATTTCTGATTATTGCTAGGTGAATACTGGAGATTTGATTAAAATTATATTAAGTGTCTTAGCGTATGTCAGATATATATTTCTTTTAAAGTTGTGTAATACGTTTTGGAACGGTCCTTATTTTTTTTTAAAAAAAACGGAAACGGAGTTTTTTTTAGAGCCGTAGGGACGTTTTCTCGTGCGTTAGACACATCTTCTTCTGTTAAACTACCTTCTTTACACATGACAGCTGCCGCTGCCAGCAGGGATGTGACGCTTTTGCACGCGATGGCTCTCTTACATCAGGCCAATTATGATTTAGGCCAGGTTTGCTTACTTGGCTTGCTTTTTTTTTAAGTTTAGTTTTTCTTGTGTTTTTATTTTGCATATGCTTTTACCGTACAGGCTGTTAAATATCTCGTTCCACCTCCAAGTAAACAGCATTACCCACTGGATGCAGATAAAACTACTTCGCATAATACTGTTAGTTTAGGAGGACCAATTTTGTGCAGGTTCTGTTACAATATTTTGCCTCCTTTTTTGCGTAGACGTCAACAGAAGGGCTGTAGTACTTATTTAAAATGAAACTTTTGTATATGATGCCTAGCTCGACCTTGATAAAACATAATGAGACTGCTCAAAATTTAAAATGCTTTCTTCCTCAAATCAGTTTTTTAAAATTTAGAGATCAAATGGAAGAGTGGTCTGCAGCGGAAGCAAATTTATTTGAAGAAGCTATAGAAAAATATCAGAAAGACTTTAACGACATCCGTGCGGACTTTGTAAGTTTTTGAAAAATTGTTAATTCCAGATATTTTATTTGTTCAAGGGTTTTACTAGGAGGAGTTTCAGCTTCCGTGGAAATCTATTCGAGATATTATTGAATATTATTATATGTGGAAAACAACAAATCGCTATGTTGAGTTGAAGAAAAGTAAAGCAATTGACCAAGAAAGCAAGCTTAAGCAGGTAATCTTGAGTTCTGGCTATTCGACTTAATGTTGTACGTGTTTGACATTAGATCTGTTATTCATTTAACATTTTTGCGACTGAATTTTCCTGTAGAACATACTTCCCAAATTCATACTGTTTTGTCATTTTGAGGTATATATCCCAAATTATAATAAACCAAATCCAAACCTGGTTGGCCCACCGAATGCGAGCGGACAGCCACTGAAGGGAACCACTCCTTGTGAAAGCTGTCAAGTATGATATTTAACGGGCTTTTTCAGCTATGACGTTATCTTTCTATGGTGAATTCGGCGTTTAGACTGACTGCTCTTTTAGACTTTGGAAGCAATGCAGTGGTACGGTTGGGGCCCAGCACAAATGCAAATGCGACTGTGTTCTGATTGTTGGACGTGGTGGAAGAAAAACGGAGGGTTGAAGCGTGTTCATAAATTTGGTGTGTTTTTTTTAAAATAAAATTTGTAATGTGTAGTTTCCTTTTTTTTGTTTTGTTTTTATTTGTTTTTTTTTTTTTGTTTCCATTCCTTTTTAACACTGAAAAAAGAGCTTTTTTTCTTCATTAGAACTTATATTGCAGTGACACAAAGAATTTAATGAAAATTTAGAGGCTTATGATTTGGATGGCACCACTAGTCAGGATTTATTGAATTCTGGACAACAAACTGCTACTCAGAAAGCTCAGACAGCTGCGTGTGTGAGTACTGGTGCGTTGATTCGTGGTGCGACAGCAACAGTTACTGCGACCGTAAGATCTGAATCATTTAAAACTATTTTCACTTAAATTTTTCATCTGCCTTTCAATGAGTGTTTTTTTTCTTTTGTGCGTAGGGGTGTTGTGTTTTTTGGTTGTCTTTAAACAGCGGTGCATTCACAGTCTACTTACACATGCACCCTTTTTTCTCAATCTCCATTTTTTTTTTTTTTGTCAAATTATCTTTCTTTCTTGAGTTGCGAGCTCTCCAAAGTGCCACTTAGTACTTTTCAACAACTTCCTGATGGTTAGTTCACCTTGGTTTGAAAAAGAAAATTTTCAAGAAAATTTTGTGTATTTGTTCAATGGTTTGAGCTTAATTTTCGCATTTTGAGGCGCGTAATGGAGGGATTGTTGGGAGACCCTCGGGCGGTCACGTCATAGCTCGTCTTCCACAGCAACAGCTGGGTCAGCAAAAGACATCATCTGGAGGAAATTTACAGGTTCCTGGCGCTCCTAAAACAAGAGTGGCTTTCTTTTTACATACAACGTTACCTATACGAATTGCTCGACGACTAGCGCCAAAAAATTTGCTGAATATTCGTCGTTCCGCTCGCCGTCCATTTCTTCCTATCAATGCTCAAGCAATCAAGCAGCACTGTGGGTTTTCAGTTGAATTTCTCCATTCAATCTCTTTTAGTGTTGTTTCAACCTGTCACCTCATTAAGACCATTGAGTGTTAATGAGACATTTTTGCTGTAATTCGAATTTGGTGTATAGTCTCACAATGAATACATATTAGGCATTTTCAGCCTCGAAGTTATTTAATGAGAATGAGATTGTTTTATTTGTCCCAAAATAACTGCAGATGCCTTTAGGACATGTTGTGGTTATTTTGCATTGGTCTTGTTTCAGTGATAGAATTATGTTGTTATAGCCTAAATGCTTCATTAAACATAGCTTTTTACATTGTTTCTTGTAATAGTTGTCTCTTACATTTTGGCTGATATGTATTGGTCATCTTTCTTTCTGCGCTTTGTCAGGGGAATTGGTTTCAGGCCTTTATGTAGAATTGAGTTTCTTTAGTAGTTATTTTTGTTGAAAATTGTGCTGCTTTTTCTTTCATTTTGCAGTTTAGTTCTCTTTATTTGAATTGTGGCTTCGCTATGATTGACATCGTTTTCGTCAACTGATGGTATCCTTAATCTTCAGGTGCGACTCGACAGCCTATCGAAATAATGCGGGCCGCCAAGCAGTTGAAGCGAAATAAGTTGTCAGATGTAATGCTCGCTCAAATAGCTGCAGCTTTAACTTCAAATGGAAATCTTGCATCACAGCAAACAGCAGGTCTAAAACGCCCTTTATCTGGCGTGGAGAAAGGTCATGTACCAGCTAAACGGCAGGTAGATATATTTGCATAGTTATGTGCTGATGTCTCTCCGAAACTTGCAAAGATAAGCCTTTAAGTTTACCAGTAGCATCTGCTTTTGTTCTGTAAAAACTAGATACAGCTTTCAGATTTTGAGGTTTTAAAACTAAAGGTGGTTCTTTTTGTTGTTTAATAGCGGCTTTTTTGATTTGTGAGCGTTGTCTGTGTTAGGATAATGGATATGTGTCAGTCGTAGTTGTTTCTTTGTGTGGACTTCTTTTATCGGTCAGATATTGTATTGAATTTAGAGCAATGTGTGGTTTCCCAGTTTGCAAACTTTAGTATTCCTAAAAAGCAATCTTAGAAATTTAATACTTTATTGTGCTGCTAGTTGTTAGTGGGGGAATATCGTTTTGATGAGGTTCTTTTGCTTATCAGGCTAATGTAGGCAGGCAGTTGTCAAATTGTGACCATTTCAATTTTCTATTAGGGGTTGAGTTCAGCGATTCAGGTAAAATTTGGTCTGGAGAGAAAATATTTTTCATTTTCGAGCTTTAACAAATGCTTGAATCATCCATTATGTTATAAAAACAATCTCAAATGCAGTGAAGGGCTTCGGAATTTATAAAATCAGTGTAGAACTTGATATCTGTCCTTTTCTGAGTCTCTCGCAAAGAAACGCTTATTGATGGTTGAGTGTTTGCTTCAATTCATTTTACTTTCTTTTTCTTCATTTCTAGCCTTTTGCGTTTTAATTTATGAAAGAATGAGAGGGGTTGAATTGTAGAGATATGGCTCTTCCATATGTTACGTTCTCGAAGGCAATTATTTATTCTTTTTTTAGAATTGTTGAGAGCTTTGCTTGGCAGTTTTTATAAGACACTCTTGTAATGTCCAGTTGATCTCATTTTCTCATTAATTTGCAAGCTGTTTTTAGTATAGTGATTTGACGAATTCAAGTTTTAAAACGTATTTAGCATGAAGTAATTGAAGTAATTTACAGCCCTGATTACTTATCAACATGTAACAGAAGACATTTTTCATTGTTACCTTCGCCTTGTCATTGAATTTGTTGCTCTGGGAATTGCAAGTATTTGAGACCTAAATGGGTAGTGCACCTATTGAAACTCTTTCTTCTCACTGAAAGTTGAGAAGAATGGTTTTTTCGTACTTTTTTCTTCTGAGCTGTTCTAATTTTTAAACTCATTTTGTTACATTTCTCACAGTCATACCCTGCATAGTGCTACCAGATTGAAACACGTCAAATTTTTAACCTGGCCTGAAGTGCACACGACCCCAGTTACTTGCTGTTGTAAATAGTTTTCTTTTGTAAGAGGCAAGGATTGACATGCAAAAATCTGTATCTCATTATTTCGCGTTAAACCATTAAGGTGCAGTTTTCCAGTCATTTAACAACATAGTATAGAGCTCTTTATAGCACACGCAATCTTCGCAGTCTCAGTTCACAAATTCCCAAGCAGCTGCCATAGCATCTATTCATCCGCAGCCGTCAGCAGCAACTGTACATCAGTCGCATGGGCAGCATACAACACCATCTACGTCCAAGAAGTCTCATTCATCAGTGCCGAAATCCACTGGTCGTGGAAGTGATGTAAAGCAGTCGTTAACACCTATGGTCTCCTTACCTACTGTTCCTCTTATGGTCCCGCCTAATTTTGCAGCAATAGTTGCTAATGCTGCACTCCTAAGTCAGCAACAACTCCCACGTCAGTTTGCCGCAGCCGCAGCTGCCGCTGCGCCTCTCAAACAACCTGGAACCAACAGCTCTTTAGTAGGAAATAGAGAGGTTGCTTCAGTTCCGTCAACAAGGAGACAACCGGACAGTCGGTATGTTGGAGTTGATGAGAAGCTGTTGTTCCTCGCGGGGCCGCGATTAAAGTAAGTTGCATCTTAGTCTTCTTCCCGCAGTTTTTTGCAGTCTTCGTCAGCTCTCATGTCTCAAGAATTTTCAACGTCCCTGTTAGTTTCATCTTTACATTTTCAGAGCATTAAGAAAGCGGATATACACGAAACGGACGGCCCGAAGGATTGCTTTGCACCCGTGTAGCAATAGCGATTTTATAAATAAGCAGTTACCGAACTTGCAAAATCTGTTCACTTAGTAAACCGGAAGGTGTAGTTTGATACTTCGCTTTATGCTCTGTGTCCTCGTTTTCGTCATGTAATTTTTGTTACATTGTTTTGTTAGTACTGTACTTGTTCACATGTTATCTTCTGTTAACTATCATAGCGAAATTTATTCTCGGTAATAACTTGTTGATCTGCAGCCTTTATGTGGTGATAACATCACAGTGATTTAAATCGGTTTTCTAAAAAGAATCCCTCTTTACAGTGGTTCTCCGAAACTGATGCGAGTCCACACAAGAAAGCCAATAGATGTACACCATCAACATGGGCCAAAATAAAGTTGTTTCCTTTCTTTTCCAAAAATTAGATGGTGTTTGATGTTGCGGGGCGAAGTTGAAGAGTGTAAATAAAGATGAGATTCCGAGTTTGTGGGGGGAGTGAGATAAAAGCTTTAATAGTGACCTGTTTGTAGAACTGGGAGAGGCTTATAGGTTTTAGGTATAGTTGTTTCTTGAATATTTTCGTAAAAGTGAAGAATGCGTGTATGTCTGTAATCGAACTTGGTTATTTTTTTAAGTTTTGTGTTCAATTTGTGTTATTTCTTATTGTTGCTTTGATGAAACTTGCGATAAATTGTTGGAAACTTTTGAGGCCTTTTTTTCGTCTTTATATGACCCCTGCGTAATCCAGAACTAGCGCGCGGAAGAGCGCTCTGTTCAAGGGAATCAGTGGGTAATATTTATTTAGCTTTCGAC